TCCCTGTAGCGTGGCCTCTTCCTCCTGGCTGTCAGTCCGGGTACCGCGCGGTAACAGGAGATTCAGTTTCCTGTTCCCAGCCAGACTGAAAGTGAGCACTCAGTGTGCACTTCCTGTCAGAGGTGACGAGAGAGGAGTGCTGCAGCCGCCTGGGGCTCTCTATAGAGCGCTCAGGCGGCTGTAGCCTTATAGAAAGCACCGGCTCTGCTTGGGGCCCCAAGCAATTGCTTGGTTTGCCTGCCCGGTAGCGACGGGCCTGTATATAACGAGCTAAATGGAAACTCACAAAACAGAAACAGGAGGTTAGTCCGGGCAGCAAGTGTACTAATGAGCAAAACCAATATCAGCAGTCAGTGGCTATTCAAAATCAAGGACAACAAGCAGACAGAAATCAAATAGGCCATTCACCACCCGAGTATCAACCAGCTGGCTTTACTAAGCTAGTGACGATTTGTCCTTACACAGCTTTACAATAAGCAGGTTTCTAGATAGCCATTAGGTACTGATTTATGCTTTTGGAAAAATAATTTGAACGGAGTTGCCAGCAATATGAATTAACAAAAAACAAAAAAAGTATATTAAATTATAGCATAAAACCAGATCTTACCACATTCTTTATTCAGCACCCTCAACCAAAATACATTTTACCTCTGAATTCAATAAGAATGATCTATATAGTGCATTAAAAAGTAAGGAGTCACAAATTCTCTTTTAAATAGAGTCTGAGTCGTGTAAACTTTGCAGCGATTTTGGAAGATTTTTAGGAGTCATTCCTCTTTTGCTTTATCTATGTATAATCAGGAAATAGAGCAATAATTCCATATCAGGGATGTCAAACTTTGTTGTAATGGGGCAGACGATTGTTGCCGAAAAGCTTTTTAGAACTCTTATGGTTGAATTATTAAACAGCAAAGTATTTTATTACCGTAACAAAATACATTGTGATTTATGCTCTGTCAGGTCATGATTAGTTTAGAACTTACATTAAAGTAGGACTAAACTAAATGTTTTTTTTTGTTTTTGTTTTTTTAAAACTTTTGCATCCAATATAGCAATTTTCTCTTTGCAGGTTTTCAAAACAAATCGTTCCCTTTTGGCCAATATCAATTTGTGAGCTACGTAGCCAATGAAACCCTATCGAAGGTTATAGAACTGCAACACATCTTTAAAGATAAGTGTGTTCGTGAACTGATCATCCAGTTACAGCAAAATCATTCAATTCTGACAGCATCATCATGTGCCCTACCATATCTTCTTTAGTAGTTGCATTTCTAAAAAAAATAAGCAAAGCTATAGAATCCATACAAAATTAAAAACAGAAAACGTGCAGTTTAGGTTGCTGATTTTTGTGCAAATCCCAAATGCACCTTGACCCTTACACAACAATGTTACTTGGCCATTAAGGAGGCCGCCTTCGCTGGTCTTTGGAGTCTGAATTATTGGACATGTTTAACCCAGCACTGCAAGTTTTAAAGTGCAGCTTGGGTACTAGCATTTGTGTTTTTTCATGCATAAGCCTTTCAATCTCAAACTGACTGCGATTAGAGAGGAGGAGCTGGTTTGCAGATTTCTGAGCGATCAGGCTTAGAGAGTTCCTGGAACGTTTAGTGGTTGTCTGGGCTACAAACCTTTTCTGTACAGCTCTATTAGCTGCAGAAACACTGCAGGTTAGCAGACAATTGGCTTATTGGAAGTACTCCCAATCAATATGGGAGAGAGCAAATGGTTGTGATTATTTCTACAAGATTCATACAATTGTTTATTAAAAAGATTGTACCCTGCCACGTGCAGTTTTACTTTGTGTTTTATTTGCTTAAATTATTTTTTATATTATTAAAATATCCTTCAGCTTATGGTTTGATTTTAGATGTGCTGGATAGTGACTTAAAACATATATTTTTTTTATTTATTCAAACTCATGCCAAAAAAAATAAATAAAAAATAGTTAGTAACAGAATATAGTAGAAATTACCCGTGCCATCAGGACCAGACTTATGGGTTCAGGGGACGTACTATAAATTATTAATGACATTTATATAGTACCAACTTATTCCACAGCTCTTTATAATAATATAATGGGGGAAATATCACAACAAGTGGGAAACATTACAAATTGTAACAGGAGCAACTGGTTGGCGAGGACCTTGCTCAAATGAGCTTACACTTTAGAAGACTAAATAAATCTCTATAAGAAAACATTAATGGGAGCACAAGCCTGGCAATTGTGAAAGGTATGGGTTTACCCCTACAGTTTTATGACAGAGAAATACTTAAAGGACCACTATAGGCACCCAGACCACTTCAGCTTAATGAAGTGATCTGGGTGCCAGGTCCAGCGAGGGTTAACCCATTTTTTTTATAAACATAGCAGTTTCAGAGAAACTGCTATGTTTATGAATGGGTTAAGCCTTCCCCCTATTTCCTCTAGTGGCTGTCTCATTTCCTATGAGACCGGCTGAATGCGCGCGCAGCTCTTGCCGCGCGTGCGCATTCAGCCGCATGGGAGGAGAGGAGGAGGATCAGAGGAGGAGAGCTCCCCGCCCAGCGCTGGAAAAAGGTAAGTTTTAACCCCTTTCCTCTCCCCAGAGCCGGGCGGGAGGGGGTCCCTGAGGGTGGGGGCACCCTCAGGGCACTATAGTGCCAGGAAAACGAGTATGTTTTCCTGGCACAATAGTGGTCCTTTAAGTAGCCAATAAAAATGTCCTATTCATACCTCACCTAGGAGCCTTTTCAAGTGACTGGGGCCTCAATCAATTTATATATTTATATAACAAATCTTTAAGTCTAGTCTTCATTAGTTCGTTTTTTTCTACCCCTCTTTTTTCCAGCTCTACGAGTGCCGTGTCCATTCTTAAAAACAAGCTTATTAAAGGACCACTATAGGCACCCAGATCACTACAGCTTAATTAAGTGGTCTGGGTACCAGGTGCACCTAGGATTAACCCTTTCTGCTGTAAACATAGCAGTTTCAGAGAAACTGCTATGTTTACCTATGGGTTAATCCAGCCTCTAATGGCTGTCTCATTGACAGCTGCTAAAGGCGCTTCTGCGCTTCTCACTGTGATTTTCACAGTGAGAAGACGCCAACTTTTCTTATGAGAATGGCTGAATGCGCTGAGGGAGCCCGGCGCTGGAGAAAGGTGTTTAACCCCTTCCTCTCCATCCAGCCCAGCGGGAGTGGGACCCAGAGGTTTTCCTGGCACTATAGTGGTCCTTTAATTACATTTTAATTATTCAGTTAGTTTAAGTAGTAAGAACACCTGATAGATTTCGAGAGCACCTGCTGATCATTTGGAGAAGACTTCTCACAAAACAGCTATTGCAAGGGTATGTGAACATTAAAAGGTTATTTAAGTAATATGTCATTGTTCTAAAGAAAGAACAAACTTTGGGTGTAGGTGGTATTCAGTGTGTGGGTTTAGCGAACAGGTAGATTAAATTAAAGTTATTTTGAGTACATTTGAAGCCTGAGAGAAAAAAGATCTAATTTAAACAGGGGGAAGAAAGGTCATGAGAAGCTGCAGAGAATCTGATCATGAAAACAAATTCATGTTAATGTATTTAGGCGTTGTGTGATGTGGGGTTAGAGGGGAACATAATGCATTTTACAAGAGCATGCAAAAATCGTTTCTTTTTAACAAATTAGCAACTAAAAACTTGACTTTTCCAAAAAAATAAAATAAACTTTTAAAACAAGTAACAAAATGGTAGGTAAGTCTATGCAGGTGCCAGAGTGAAAATTACTATAAATTTGTAAAATTGGGATAATCCCAACCATGGAGATTGCCTGAGTTTTAAATCTCAGTATAGATTTTTATATGAGAAAATTAGAGGACACATTCACATATTTTTTTTTTTTTTCAATTGACAATTTTTATTGGTTTTTTTTTGCAGTTATCAGTGGGGTACAGAAGAGAAAGGGGATGGGGGGGATACCAACAATTGTTGACGACATGGTATAATCATTACATTACATTGTGTTGTGCTCCTTCTTAACAATGCTATGGTATATAGTTCCATTCACAAGTAAACTCTCAAGTAAACTCTAAGTTCTGCCTCGTCCAACATTACTTCCTTGCGCCCTCCTTTGTAATTCGTGGGTTGGCGGAGGGGGGAGGGGGGGAGGGGGTAAACTTATGTACACGTGTGGGATTACGTTGTCTGTGTCTTTTCCTACTTTGTCCTTCAGCATGTGTGTAAGCCTATAGTGGGGCTCTTGATGTAAGCTCTTTACGTGAGCTCTATTATGGGCTCTTTTCGTGGACTCTCGATTTGGGCTCTCTCCCTAATATTCTTTTCCTCAGTATCTCACAGGCCAATCTTCGTTGCTCTTGCAGAACCTATTGGTGTGCAGTTTTGGCTGCCTGAGGTTTTACCGTGTTCCAATATGTGTCCCAGATGCTACCTGCCTCTGTAGTGGTACCCCCCTTGTCTAGTTGTCGAGCTGCCATGTATTCATATTCCCAGTTCAGTTGAATTTGTGCTAACAGACTGGCTTTTGTGGGGGCTGAATTAGATTTCCATTGTTTCGCTATGAGATTACAAGCTGACATTATCGTGTGGAACATAAGTTTGGCGTGGACCTTGGATATGTCCTCTGGCCATATGTACAATAGGCACATTGCCGGCGTTAGGGTTACTTTTATGGGTATTAGCTGACCTAGGATGTCGTTCACTACCTTCCAGTAGGGCCGAATTTCCCTGCACTCCCACCATATGTGTAGCATTGATCCCCTGTCTATTCCACATCGCCAGCATTGGGCCGAGGTGCCTGGGAATATGTGTGCTAGCCTCGTCGGGACTAGATACCATCTATATTGTAGTTTCCTTATTTGTTCAAGGTGTGTGACACATGTGGTCTTGCCTTTATGGATAGTGAAGGCTCCCAACCATTGATGCTCTGAGAAAGTGCATCCTAGGTCTTTGTGCCATGCCTGTTTGAAGTTGTCGGTAGAGTTATGTGTACCAGTTAGTAACGTTCCATAGACTCTTGAAAAGGTTCATTTGTGTGGGGTTCCCTTGAGGCAGCATGCCTCGTAGTCAGACATCGCGGATGTCCCAGGTGGGGGGGTGTGGTGTTGTAGCATCGATTTGATCTGTAGGTATGAAAAAATTGCTCTATTCGGTATTTTGTACTGAGCTTGTATGTCCGGGAATTGTTTAAGAGAGGATCCTGTGTACAGATCGTGTATGTGCGTGCACCCTGCCTTTGTCCATGCCCTAAAGTCAAATGTTGGGTTTCTCAGGTATATGCTATACATCGTTGAGGCAAGTGATAGGTCACCTGTTTCGCTGAGGTGCGCTCTACTTTTATCCCATGTGTGCAGCAATAGTTTTGTGGTTTCCAGCATTTGGGGTGGTGCTGGTCTCAGGTGTTTTGGCACCCAGAATAGATGGTGCATCCCAGCTCTGCACGACTCATGGGTTTCAATAGCTACCCATTGTGGTGGGTTATCTGCCCTGTGTGCCACGGTCACCGTGGATAGCAGCGCCGCCTTGTAGTATAGTCTGATATCTGGGAAACCCATGCCCCCTTTCTCTATTGGCTTTTTGATCGTGGAGAGTGCTACTCTAGGGGTTTTATTTGCCCATGTGAATCGTGTGATGGTTTTTTGTAACTTGGTCATGTAGTGCCTAGGGATGGGGATCTGTAGTGAGCGGAATAGATACTGTAGTTTAGGTAACAGCGACATTTTGAAAGCCGCTATGCGCCCGTGCCACGAGTGGAAATCATTATGCCACTTTTCGAGCGTCTGCGATATTTCGTGTGATAGTTTCTCATAGTTATATTTATACATTTGGTGGGTCGTTCTGGCTAAATTGATCCCTAGAAACTTTATGTAGTCATCCCTCCAGTCGAAATTAAAAGATTCCGTCAGGGTGTGGAGAGTCCGTCCCGGGAGATGGATTCCCATCGCCTGTGTTTTCGTCAGGTTAAGTTTGTAATACGATACTTTGTTATAGTCTTGTATGCACTGAAGGAGGTTGGGAATGGATATTTGCGGTTGTGTCAAAGTTAGTAGTATGTCATCCGCAAAGAGGCTGAGGGTGTACTCTCTGTCTCCTACTGGGACTCCGTGTATTGCCGGATGGGCCCTAATCGTGGCAGCCAGAGGTTCTAGTGCCAGCACGTATAACAGAGGGGACAACGGACACCCCTGTCTCGTCCCATTTGTGATTTCTATTTGTTCTGATACGAATCCTGAGTTTAGGACCTGGGCCCTTGGCGCCGAGTAGAGCGCCCTTACCACTGAAATGAAGCTCCCCGGGATCCCATATCTCTGTAGGGTTGCCTCCAGAAAGCTCCATCCCAGCCGGTCGAAGGCCTTTTCTGCGTCTAAGGTTTAAAACTTTTCTTGTGTTATCTGCCCCCTATCGCCCTGTTACAAACCCCACTTGATCATTGTGTATAATATGCGGCAGTATAGGCCCTAATCTTCGTGCGTAGAGTTTGGCTAGGATTTTGGTGTCCGTGTTAAGAAGGGATATAGGGCGGAAGTTTTGCGGCTGTGTCGGAGGCTTACCCGGCTTAGGTAGGGTGATAATATGGGCCAGTTGCATTTCTCCCGGGAGGGTCTCTGTGCGTACTGCTTCATTAAATACTTCTGCTAGATAGGGTGCTAAGATATCTTTAAATATCTTGTAGTACGAATTTGCGAATCCGTCAGGGCCTGGGGCCTTTCCTTTCGGTAGTGACCGTATCGTATCGCAAACCTCCTCTGGGGTAACTTGCCTAGTTAGTGTTTCTTGTTGCTGGGGCGTTAAGGTTGGGAGAGTTGTTTTATCTAAGTACTCTGTAATGTTTGTATCTGTTGGGGGTTGGATAGTGGGGTCTCGTCGTAGGTTGTATAAGTCCCCATAGTAGCGTGCAAATTTGTTACTAATTGTGAGAGGTGTCATTACCTTCCCCCCCGCTTTGGAGTGTAAAAACGCTATTTTCTGCGCCTGCTGTCGTTTTTTCAATCTTGAAGCCAGCAATTTTCCCGCCCTATTCCCTTGTGAGTAATGTGTGGCTTTTAACTTCCTTAAGGTGTATCCTACTCTGTCGATCGCTTTTTGTCGGAGTTTTTGACGCATCTCCGCTATTTGTTCTTTCAATTGGGTCGAGGGTTGGGCTTGGTTCTGTAATGTCAGGTTGTATAAGTCTTTCTGCCATTGTAATGTCTGCGTCTGCGATTTTCTTTTCAAGAATGCTGCTCTTCGTATAAGGAGTCCCCAGGCTACCGCTTTATGGGCCTGCCATATCGTGTGGTGTTGTAAATCAGGATTGGTATTATCTGTAAAGTAATGGCGTAGTGAGTCAGAAACGCTCTCCAAGAAGGACTTGTCCAATAGGAGAGTTTCATTTAGACGCCATGGGCCCCTATGTTTAAAATCATACGTGTCCCTTAGTGTTAGTTCCATGGGAGCGTGGTCAGACCATACTATCTGCCCCACTCTACAGTCCACTATCTGCTCAAGTGCCCCTCCCTCTACCAGTATCGCGTCTATTCTCGAGTAGGTGTTATGGACCTGTGAGTGGTGGGTGAATTCCTTATCTTCTGTGTGTGTGACGCGCCATGCGTCGTAGTAGTGGTGTAGGGCCAATAATTTCGCTAGGGTTGCACTTTGCCACTTGAGTGGTTTGTATCTCGGACTATTTGGGGAGAGTGTAGTGTCCAGGGCTGGGTTGAGAACATGATTTAGGTCCCCACATATGATCGTCATACCTTGTTTGATATTGGATATTCTGGAGATGATTTTGTGTATGAAGTTCCTCTGATTGGTATTGGGGGCATACACGTTAGCTATTGTATATAAGGCATTATTTATTTTTCCAACCACGATAACATATCTGCCTTCCCTATCTGTGTCTTCGGTTATTAGGTCAAAAGCCACCTTTGTACTTATTAGTATAGAGACACCTTTTGATTTGGTGTCAGACGTGGAGTGGAACTGGTGAGGGTGTGTCTTGGTTAGAATGCTGGGGTGTGTATTGCCCCTGAAATGTGTTTCCTGGAGACACACTATATCAGCATCTAGTTTCCCTATGTCCCTACTCAAGAGGTGCCTTTGTACTGGGAGGTTAAGTCCTCTCACATTATGGCTGTATAACTTTATGGTGGAATGTATGGGAAAATGTTGCTCTTGCTTAGTTTGTAATGATCTATCATGAGTCTCTGCCTTCCCCAGCTATTTCGAGCTAGGCAGATCTCTATTGCTAGGAACTTCAGGGTGAGTGTAGGGCCTGTCATCCCAGGGTACTTCCCCATTAGTAGGTGCTCACACCCTGCTGAGGTGTAGGGATTAAGTAGCGTTTCTTGGCTTCCCACGAGGCCTTGAGGTAACGGGGTTGGGATGAGGGGAGGGGATCGAACAATACAATTGGCGGTTGGTAAATCCTCTGTCTTGCAGAGTTTTAACATATGTACAATTTTGAACAAAGTTGCCAAGTATATGGCAAGGTTCCCATAAGGGGAACCGTGGGGGTCGGAGCGTATCGCTTCGATCCTGGTTAGGGTGTCGCCGCGAGGGCGGCCCTCATGCTGTGTCTCATAGCTTTCGTTTGCTGGGTTGACCCGTGCCCGGTATAACGTCTGCACATTGTGAACTGCATAAGGTGAGCCAGCCGGTCTCAGTATCAAGCGGCCTTTGGGTCATGGTTGGGTGTTATGCACAGGTTTGCCCCTCCATATCACGCTCATTGGGGCTGTTGTATTTTGCAAGTTATTATAAAAGATTTTTTTATTTATTTATTTTTTTTATTTATTTATTTATTTATTTTTCCATTTTGTCCCCTTACTGTTAGGTATCAGTACTGTGTGGAAGGGGTCGTGTGTAGGCTGTGATTGGGGTCAGCACGGCCCTTGGGTAAGAATCCCCAGTATGTATGATACCTCTGGACCCCACCCTAGACCCTGACCTTGTGTAGCTAGTCCATTAGCTATATTTACAAACTTTGTACTACGGCATGGGCTAAGTGTGCAATGTAAACGTTAAGATTGCATAACATGGTATACTTGCGGGCAATAATAAAGTTCATAGGAGTGTCGCTTCCAGATGCCTATTTTCGTGCCTTCTTCCAGGCTGAGGGTTGTCTCCCGGTAGGCGCCGGTCTTGGTCTCTCGGCTGGTGGAGTGATGCCCCATTCCTGCAGCTTTTGGAGGCCTTCCTCCGGTGATATGATGGTGGTGAGAGTGCCATTTCGTTGAATGAGAAGTTTGGTCGGATAACCCCATCGATACGCTATGTTGGTGCTGCGTAGGGCTTCTGTGATAGTGCTGAAGGACTTCCTTTTCCGTAGTGTCATGGCCGAAATGTCAGCAAAGATCCCAATTTTCTGATATTCCGATGGTATGTCTTTTCGGACTCTGCTCGCCTTGAGAACTGCCTCTTTGGCGTGGTAGTAGTGCATTTTCAGTATTATGTCCCTCGGTATATCCGCAGGTAAATATGAGGGTTTCGCTACCCTATGTATGCGGTCCAGCAACAGGACATCTTGCGGTAGATCTGGTACCAGCGTGTGGAAAAGCCCCGTGGCGTATGCGGGCAAGTCCGCTGGGCCTATATTTTCAGGCACGTTCCGCAGCCTCAAGTTGCTGCGACGCGCGCGGTCTTCCATGTCCGCGATCTTGGTCTCATATTCGTTCAGCCGGTCCCATGCTTCTTCCAGTTTGGTGGTTAGGCGGGTATGCGCCTCCATTTGTGCCTCCATCTGATTCTCCAAATCCGAGGTGCGAGAGCCCAGTTTGTGTAAATCCGTGCGGAGGTCAGTGAACGAGCGCTGCAGCGTACCCTGTAGTTTTGCCGCCATATCATCAAACATCGCCTGTAGACTCTCCGTGGTGAGTATAGTGTTGGCGGTTTCGTTGTGCGGACCTTGTGAGCTCTCCTGGTCGTCACCATCTTGCTGCTCCTCCGGTATAGTGGCTCCTCGTGCGTGCCCTTGTTTGGCACTAAAAAAAAGCATTTTGTCGTTTTTATCAGATGCCCGTTTGCTTTTGTTGTGGGACATAGT